GTGTACTTGGGTGTAAAAATTATGTTCAAATCCCAGTAGAGAGACGAGTTTTATCAAGGAAGCTTGACGATCGAGCCGAAATAGGCATGTTAGTTGGTTATGAAGGGCAACATATTTTTCGGGTTTATACTCCCAGTCACCGGAAGGTTATTCGATCTTCGAATGTACGTGTCGATGAAAAATGCTCCGTTAACATACCCCAACAACAAGATGAATATTGGGAATCATCCGATCAATCTCAGCCAAGCCTTACATTTCCGCTTGATGGAAGTAGGGAGGTAAACCAAGAAACTTCCAAAAATTCTCAATGTCAGGAAACTCAAATTGATACCGAATTGCCTGAGTTGACTCCATTTGAAAAGCTGGGATATGAAAAACATCAAACTCTCAACAATGAAGTGGATCAAAGTGAAACCGAAAAGAATAAGGAGGTTGGAGGACTTGAGGAAACAGAAGAAATTGAGGAAACCGAAGAAATTGGACATTCATCACAAGCACAGAAACCACCTGAAATACAACCAGGATCTAGGAATAGACTTAAAATGCAATCGAACCGTCGACTCGTGTTCTAAGACCCAATCGTAACAGGAATGTCAACGAGGACACAGCGTTTGCAGCATTCATTGCGGCAGCAAGTTCAACCGAGATCGACCGAAACGAAGATGATCCTAAAACCATGATCGAAGCACTTAGCGGCAAATACAGGATGCAATGGAAAGAAGGATTTAGGAGAGAATACGATTCGATTGGCAGAAATAAAACTTGGGTTGTTATACCTCGCTCTGAAGTTCCTCCAGGCATAAAGGTGCTTAGTGGCAAGATTGTGCTGAAGACAAAAAGGCACAAGAATGGTGATATTCTGAAATATAAGGTTAGATGGGTTATCCGCGGTTTTGAGCAACGATTCGGACGTGACTTCACCCAAACTTATGCTGGAGTGTGTCGAAATACCTCTTGGAAAGTGGCTTTATCTATTGCGGCCATGTTTGATCTAGAAATTGAACAGTTGGACGCTGTCACTGCATTCTTGAATAGCACGGCCGATCGCGACGATATTTACGCCGAACTCCCTCCCAGTTGGCGGGAACCAAGTATGGACCCTAGGGGTGACTACGTATGTAGGCTACTTAAGGCTTTATATGGTCTCAAACAGTCACCAAGGTTGTGGCAAAAGCACTTACGCAAATGCCTAGAAGAACTTGGGTTTTCATCTCTTGAATCTGATAACTGTGTATTTATTCACAGTGAGGATCGTCTCATAGTTGTTTCCTACGTGGATGATTTCCTTCTGCTTGGGAAATCAAAAGAGAAGATTTCGAAGATGAAGATCCGACTCGCCAAAAAGTTCCAGTTAGAGGATTTAGGCCCAGCCCAGTATTTCCTTGGTGTCCGTGTTACTCGAGACCGTGTAAAAGGGCGCCTATGGCTTACACAAGACGCCTATTGCCGTCAAATCCTTGAACGTTTTGGTATGGAAAATTGTCGCCCTGCAGAAACACCTATGGCTCCTGGCTATGAAACGTTTCTAGTCCCTAATCCAGATCAAGCGACTGCTGCCGAAATAAGAGACTACCAGTCAAAAATAGGCTCCTTATTGTACCTTGCGGTTCATACTAGACCCGATATTTCATATGCGGTCTCGGTATTTTCTCGGTATCTCTCCAATCCATCTTCGAACCACACCAAAGGTGTCGATCATATACTTCGTTATATGAGGGGTACAGTAAGTCTCGGGATAATGTACGATGCAAATGCATTTGATACAACACTACACTGCCACAGTGACTCTGATTGGGGTGGAAATATAGCCACCAGACGATCCACTGGAGGAAGTGTCTTCTTTCTTGCTGGAGGAGTGATTTCGGCCTCATCGAAGGGACAAACCAGCGTTGCACTTTCCTCAACGGAAGCTGAGTATTATGCTCTCACTGCCACTATCCGGGAACTCCTATGGATTCAGCAATTGATGCGTCAGATGGGCTACTCCAGCACAGATATATTATCCACAAAGGTCTACGGTGATAATCAGGGCAGTCTAGCCTTGAGTGAAAATCCAGAGCTACACCAGCGTACTAAACATATTGATATCAAGCATCACTTTATCCGTGACCACGTCACAAGTGGTAGAGTGTTGCCCCGATATATTTCTACCAAGTTGATGGCAGCAGATGGACTTACAAAGTCTCTGAATAGAGCTAAGCACGGAGAATTTATAAAGCTGCTCAATATGAGAGTTCTTGAGTTAAAATGACCATATGTTAATTTGGGTAAAGGGTGATAAATATAATGAAACAGTCTTGGGCTGAAGGAGTGTGTTGAAGTGTCAGCCTTACGCTGTTTTATGTCACATGACTTTATCCTGTAGCGTTTACATTACTTTCTAGCGTTGTATACTAGCCATTCTCATACCTGTAACTTACACATCAATTAACTTATATTACATTCTATATACGTCCTTTAAGAACTGTTCATTTTTTTTTCATTCTTTTCTTTTGTCGCCTCTGGCTCCACTGCCGGTCATGTAGGTAGCAATGAGCTTTCAGAGCCCATCTTCCCGTGTCACGTCTAAATAGATGTTAGGTTCTTCCTGTCATGTAAAAGATTTCAATTTCAATTTCAATTTACACGTGTATATTGTTTTCAGGAGCTACAATTGAGTTCCCTTCCCCTCCTTGTAAACAATCTTATCAACCATATTCGACATTGTCAATCTAGACCTCCCATTTTCGTGATAAAAGATCGAATCCTACCTAAGCCTCATCAAGTTTACAAGTACGACCTAGTACATCCTCATTCCAATGATCACACCTCTCGTCGACTTTCTCTGGCCTCAGCTGGTCACCAAATACACACCCACGCCGATATTTATACCCGACGTAGGACACAAAGCGTGGCGCACAAATCTTGGAGACAGTTCTTTGGAAATGGCGTGAGAGGATTCGGGACAAGTTAACAAGATGATGCGAAGGATGGATTCAGTCTCGACGGGCGTGGAATTTTGAATTTTGGCAAGGAGTTTTTACAAGTTGAACTTCGTGCGTGCCAAGCCTTCGGTTGCGAGAGTGCAGGCGACACTTTAAAAACTGCCATGGTTGGATGGTGCGGTGGTACATCTTCTTGGCCGGTCTGCCAAGAATAGTCTGGATAGCTTGGACACATATCCCACTCGAGACAGTAGATCGCTGGTTCAAATCCGGCAAAACACAACCACATTTCTCGCGGCGCTGATATGCATGGATGACGAAGGCATGATTGTATAATCAAAGGTTTTGAAACGTCCCTTTGGTGGGTACTTACGGAGGAGGGTCGACTGTTTGTGTAAGCGAACATACCTCATAGTGGTATTTGCGAATGAAATCCAGAGTATGAGTGTCTCTAACTTCAAAAGAGTCATCCCACATGTATACATAGCACCAGTCATGTGTCATAGCTAGATAGCTGAATACACATTAAATGATTTAAAAAAGAAAGTCAACGTTGGAAGGTGCAATGGTCAGCCTCCTGGTGGTGTTCTCCGGTATAGTCCAAGTAGCCTGAGCACCTACTCCACTTGGGAAGGGGACATCTAAGATTACATTTCGCGCGGAGAAAAGTTGATGGATGACGGAGGCATGTCTGGATAACTCAGGGCTTTTGAGGCGTTCCCCTGGGTGGGTATTCGCGGATGAGGGTAGACTTGGGGTGAAGAAAAAGCCATCATAACCTCGCAGTAGTACCTGCAGATGAAATCTGAGGCATGAGCACCCTTCTTTTAAATTAAGTTACCTATTAGGTACTTTTTCTCTGATACTTCATAGCTAGACAGCTACATTCGCAGTTAAAAATTGATGCAAAAAAAATTATAGTCTTGGGCATACACCAAAGATCTCTGCCCTTGCGCATGTTGATAAAAATGCGTACGGAAGCAATTCGCCGAATTTTAACGTAAGACTTATACCATAACACCATTTAGCCCAGGGTTCAAACAATACGGGGTATATGAGCAGTATGCCAGCCACTGATCGTTTATACAGTTGGATCCCTTTCGAAAGAGGTACGGAGCAACATAGACTCTGTGGTATATCTGCCGCTCACTAGATAGACAAAGTGTTTCTCATATAAACTTTGAGACACCATGGGTATCACAGATACCGAGACCGTCTGCGTATTGAGAACAATTCGATATGCGAAGAAAAGTTTCCCTCGTAAGACCATGCATGTATCCAAACACAACCAGGCTAGTACCCTTCGGAGCTAGACTATCATTTAAATAACCAGAAAACCGGGGCAGGGTGACTCATATCCACATATGATCTCATTGATTTTCTACACGAAGTCCGGCTTGTAAATTTAGATTGATGTAATGATAAAACTGTTGCACGCTATTATACTTGAAGTCTATCATCCCAGCTAAAACTGCCAGTCCCACCCCGAGAGCTTTAAACCTCTAAACTCCAACATCCGTTGTATTGGATTCGCATCCGACCTTTGACCTTTAGAAGCTAGGAGACTCCTAGAGTTTTAACGCCCATCCAAACACCGCCAGCTAGTGCTTGTACAAATAAGTGGTTCCAAGCCAAAGCTTGCATTCATTGTTCAGTCAATCCCTTCGTACAATTTCTCTTTTGACATATCTACATTCCTAATCATACTCGGAAAATGATGGTTCCACCTTTATCAGATAAATAACTAGTCTACTTATATTCCGGATAGGGCCCCAAAGAATCCTGATTCAATAAAGAGATGATACTGGATTCATTTCGTGACAAGTAAATAAAATTGCCACGCTGAAAGTTTTCGCTTTGATTGAATCATCGCTAGTACATGAGAGAGTAATAAGCTGTTTATTTTTTCCGATGAAAGACGGAAAATCTTGAAGCCTGTAACGTTGCCATAATAAAGTCGTCACAACCTTAACGAAAGTTAATTAATAACATTCAGAAATTGTCCGATTTGATGGAAATCTCATGAATTTATCCCCATTGGTTTTATAATGAGGGCATCCAGTTTACTCATGTTCTTTACATGCTCCCAAACGGTCTACCGAAGTTCAAGCTGGGCTTCATTCGCAGTTTAGGACCTTCGTCCTTTTGATCTGGAGTCGATGACGATATATCAGCTTGCGATACAAGATTTGAGGACAACACGTCATCATGACTATGATCATCTTTTTTCTTAGCTTCCTTTGCTAATTTTTTTGTAAGCTGAGAGAGAAAAAAATCATCCTGAACTCTTTCATTAATGAGGCCGAGCGGCCCTGAGAATTCTTTATCGCCATCATCGCTATCTTCTGAGCTGGACTTCGATCCACTTTCTATTTCCTTAGAGTTAGCTTGAGTTATATGCTTGTGCTTATCGGCTGAATCCTTTATTGTGTGAGCAGGTGATACTGCCTCGCTTTCTGCTAGATCAAATTTGGTTACGGAATGATTAGGGGTGTGGCCAGCAAATAAAGTCAAGCGTTTATTTTCTGGCTGGGCCGATAATGAAGGAATAATAGTTTCAATCCTTTCTCTTTGATCCTTTGATTTCTGCGCGAATTCTGTCGGCGTTATTCCGGACTTTAGTTGACTAAGATTCGCAGATTCGAGTACTGAGGATAACGAGTTCGTCATAAACGAGCGCGAGGTTGTGGGGTTACGGATGGCTACACCATCAACTTCGGTGTATTTGCGGGAGGATTCTATGACATCAGAAATTGTATCAAGACTCTCCTTTGTTAAATTTGGATTAATAGGGTGAATTGAGCTTGATGGCTGGTTTTTGCCATCAAATGTAGCGAAGACTTCCTCCACAGGCACAACAGCAGCAGCTTTAGTACCAAAAGTACGGGTTGGGTTTAGTGGAGCAGGTGCGTAGAATGGGCTTCCATCTAGATTACGGCCTGATTCTTGTGGAATTCTAGTTGATGTTGCGACCTCCATATTAAGTGTACCAGAGGTGAGGCTCGTGCGGGTAGAACTTGAAGGCTGTGGATTGCTTGGTTCCATGTTAGTGACAGCTTGTAATTGTGCCTCGAGTTCTACGATGCGTATTTTTAGTGCCTTCCGCTCGGTATTCCATAACTCCCTTTCACGATCCCATAAATCTTGTTCTCCAGCCATTATTTCTTCTGCTCGATCTCGATCTGCTCTCATATGTGCACGTTCGCCTTGAAATTGGGTTCGAAGCTGCTGAACATAGACACGCCAGTCGTCAATGAGGGAGGAAATGTTTTCATCCACAAATGTAATGCGAGTTTTAGGGGAAGGCATGAGCGAATGATTCTGATATATTGATGGAGTAACGAGTTGTGCGGGGAGGTGACTGGGGATTGAAATTGGCGACACGACTGCTCCCGACAAGAGGAAAGAGTTATTTTCGCGCTTCTCGAGCATCACTATTAGAAGGAAGGAGTAACTAGTGTATGTAGTAAGCTGTGAAACTATAATTTTTTAAATGAATGCGACTAGACCATCAACTTATTTTAAGAATTGTAGGCCCAACTGTGGTAATCTTTTGAGTGAGAAGTTCAATCTGAGTAGATTCTTATTATCCGTAATATCATCGCCATCAATTCGCGGCGCCGATCAAATTCTGCATTCAGAGGTCTTCGTTAGCTTGAGAGGGGTCAGGTGATAATATTGGGCCTAGCTGATAGTAGTGCCACGACGATACATACTTGATTTCCCCACATGTACCTCGACTAAGCTACCTAATTAAGCATTTCAGGAATCCTATACTAGGAATAGGGCAGCAGCATCAACGTCGTTATTTTCTTAACTACACATATATCAGATTCCCGTAAGTTCGTAGTCTATATTCCAAGTCATGAAATACAGGATGGATTAGGAGCGAAGGATTCTTTTAGTCTATCCGAATACACATTGATCTAACGACGGCGGGAATCGTCAAGATTCACGTAACTGACGAATCAAGTCAAGTGAATATTTTAATATTGTAGCTGGAGAAATCCATCAAGGTCTTTTACTTTATCCATTTCAAAAACTGCGCCGAGCCACAATTTCGAAGAATATGGAATATCCAAAAAATAGTCAAGGTCTAGTTTAAATGTTGAATTATGAGCAACATGATTGACCGGCATGTAATATTGTTCTATTGGATTGTGGGACTGCTCAAAAGTATTAAGAGCCTCAAATTCTCCTGGATGGCTATTTGATACATCGCTTCGTTATGTCCTCGCGTCATGTGTCATTGAGGGAGACTAAGTATAGAAAGTCAAGAAAAAAGACATTTATCAATCTACTCGATGATTTGGGTACAAGCTTACTTTTACAACCTATTGAATTTGGGCAGCAATTTTGTTGCGAAGTAATACACTTACTAGATGATATTGGAAAAGTCTTGCTCTTAGAAACCCCAAGGTAATTTCTATCCAATGTTCACGATACTTTGTCCATGTAGCTTTCAAGAATGCTGACTATCTTCAATTTGATAGCAACCTTACTGATTCTCACCGATCTTGTCTTCAAAAAGATATGCTTCAGAATTCTATACCTAAGGGCCAAGTTACTCAGGCTAATAGCATTGTCACTACCATCTTACCAGTAGTATACAAAAGAAATAGGCACGGCAAATATGCTAAATGAATAAAATCCTATTGTCTCTAAAATCTACAAAAAGTCTTTAATTATTCATTTCCCCGACGGTGCCTAGACGTCATGTTGTTCTTAGCTCACATCCTATCCAAAAATATTATAAATATTCTTGCCACTAGTTTGACACGCTAAGCTACGACGGAATTAAATTTTTTGAATTTGAGGTTTATGAAGACTATTAAACTTGAAAGCAACATCACATCAGTGAAGATGTCGAGTATCGTTTGCTTTTTGAAGTATAAAAAGTGACTTTCAGTAAAATAGACTAATTTCCGATTCACGTGGCCTGTAAAGACGAATTGTTCATCTTCGAGTGGTACCGGTGTAATCGCTGAGTATGCTCTGCATATCTGGGATTGCCAAGGAGAATCTTATCCGAATGGGAGTCGAAAGCAAACACATGCATATCTCCACTTGAAGACTTCTAAATACTGCAAAATACTGCAGTACTTACCATTCTTATCTGAGTCCTCAACCTTTTTCTAACCACAAATCATCTCCCTTCAACGACCAATAAAGAAGTTGCTCCGATTGCATATTGGAGATTGCCCCATTAATTTCCAGCCATCTCACACTACATATTCACGACGCTATATATACCAGCAAGTAGGAAATCAAGTTATAATACAAAGCCTGGGTCCTGGATTATGACGGATTGTTGCTCTAATGGAACAACCGACTTGTGGGATGGCAGGCGGCCGAGACGTGGAGCAGGAGGGGGGACAGATCTCGAATACCATGCTGGTACTGATAATTTCGAGGAGTTTTCAATTTTGGATCGTTTGTCGGCGCCAAGACTGAGATTTCGGCTAATTAGCCTGGAGGGCTTCTTTTATCGATGAGTCAACGGCCCTTTCCAGCATCCTGGACGGCACAAAAGAAGTTGGGCTAAGCTACCATACAGCAATCACGCTCTGTCAAGACTTTTCTGTCATTTCAGCACGACCTTGGGGAAAGAGTCGGAAGGAGGCTAGAAAGGCAGAGGGTGAATTTACCGAGGTACCCCCAAGTCTGCAGCTTCCAGCTGGCCGGCCTCTTCGAACGCTTCAGAAGGATCACTATGTCTTCGAGTTTAGTTCTATTGTCGGTACTAGAAGAGTCCCGCACCCAGTGGTTTTTGCGATTTTTCCCGGCTGCCATATACCAGCAAATGGCCATCGTTTTGTTGGCTGGAGAGGGGAGATGACGAAGGGCAAAGGGCTTCTCTGAGCGTATGATCGAATGGGGACTTGTGAGGGGCGGTACTATTTTAGGGGATCTATATGGGAGGCATAGGAAGGGATATACTTCTAGTATAGGTATCCTCGGACTTTAGGCAGAGAGGACGTGCAAGTCCTACATAGCCATATAATCAGAAAGAACGATAAAATGAATTGATAATAATAATGTTATAATGTAGAATAATTGGGTCAATCAGATAGGCCACGTTGTTGATACACACGTGACTACAAATTCTACACCTGGTTTCACTTCGGTAATTACTTCATTCAATGAGCTCTACAACCTCAATGGCTGAGGAGTTATTATTTCTGTCGGTTGATTATATACACGTGTACGCGTACGCAATGGGATTCTCTCTGATGTGGTAGTTCTTTTATTTCTTGGATACAGGCGTGCCAGCCTTAAGGGCGACACGTCAGGCTGCACCAATACACGTGACTAACTATCAACATATTGCAATCTCTCTCCTGACCCATGCACATTCCAAAATAGTGTTGCGACAATTTCCTTAATAAATAATAATAATAATAATATAGGAAGTGCATTTACACTGTTTATACAGTGTGAATTCTGCATTGTCCTTGTCCACATCATTTCGTCTTTTGGTCCATTGCTATCTTTACTTCTCCTGCAAGCCAGAACCGTTCAAATCAACCTTTAGCCAGTGTTAATTGTTACCCTCTCCATGTCATCTAGTCTGTTCATTATTGCGCAAAGGACCTTTCTATTGACTGTCGAAGCACCTCTCCTCTCCACCTACCCACTAAGAACACGACAAGACCATACGTTTTAGCCATTTTGTGATGTTTATCCACAACGGGATTTTGCTATATCCATTCCGGGGTCTTTCTTTCAAAACAGATTAGAATTGAGACCGATATGCTCACTTGTTGTCTAAACTGCAATTCTGCTTTGAGCCCTGCCAAGGTTCCATGGGATACCTGTGTGCTTGTTGCTTTTGACGATTATTTTTCTGCCTGTTCTCTGGTGCGTGTCGATATTTGTGGTTTTCTGGTGTAAGCTTTGAAACTATTTTCCATTACCAGCACTTTGCGCTTGCCTTTGAATACAAGTACATAATGTGTGTACGTCCGTGCATGAATTAGCAAATATAAGGCATCTCGAGACCATGTCAGCCTCGCCAGATTTTGCCACATGGGTAGGATGATCGTCTTAAATGGTCCCAGAAGTACCACGTTGTCTGGTTTGTGTAACCAGCTAGTTTCCTCATTTTTATAGATGAAATAAAACTTACACCTTTGCGCTAAGTATCATTGTAGCTTTGCTGTTTAAGACTGAATATTGAGAAAATCATCTATCAGCACAGTATATGCTACGACCTTTCCTAGAATGCGAACAGGATAAAATCTCTGATAGGGAGCTTAATTCCAACATATTAAGGAGTTGAATAGGCAAAATTCTGAGAGATATCCGGTAATAATGGGGGCCATTGATCCAGTAATGAGGAAACGTGTGCTAAGAGTAGTTTTCATATCTCTGCTTCTCGATCTAGTAGGTATTCGGAGCTTAACATATCAAATCGACTAACCACTGTTCAAGATAAGCTTTACATTTATACTACCGCTATATCCAGCGCTGCTCCAATACTACAAGGAGTAAGCCTCTTCTGACGAGATATTTTGACTTCTGGTCGATTAACACATACTTAGTCTTGAACTAAAAATCCAATATAACGCTGAGAGCAAATCAAATACCATCCTTTTCAAAATTATAAATTATCTCAACACATATAAAGTATCGTTTGCTCGTCCCATTGATTCCCGATACGATGTAGTTCTATTGGGCGGTGCACTTGGGAGTCTCTTTTCGTCAGTCAAACAAACAAATCTCCTGTTATGAATTCCGCTGATGGTTTTCAAGTTTCCTTCAGGCAGTGGCATCTCCTATAATCGGGACCCTGTCCGATCGCTATGGCCGCCGTACTGCTCTCCTCGCAAGCATGAGCGGAAACCTCCTAAGTGTACTTCTCTGGGTCCTCGCAACCGACTTCCGCACATTTCTGCTTTCACGAATCGTTGGCGGGTTGTCCGAAGGAAATGTGCAGCTAGCAATTGCTATCGCAACTGATATTTCAGATGAGAAACAACGGGGCGCAACTCTAGCACTCGTGGGTATCTGCTTTAGTATAAGCTTCACAGTAGGACCAGCTCTTGGAGCATGGCTGAGTACCATAAATTTAGTGGAAGCGAACCCATTCGCGACAGCAGCAATCTTCTCGCTGGTCCTCATCGTGGCGGAAACCCTCTATTTGTATTTATGCTTGCCAGAGACTCTTCCGAGCAAAAATTCATCTATGCGACTCAATAATACACCTAAAAATGTTCAAAAAGATATTTCTTCCCCACCGACGATTTCCAGATCAAACTCTCATATTCGTCTGAATTTTATTCATTTCATGTTCATCCTCTTTTTTTCTGGCATGGAATTTTCACTGCCGTTTATGACCTTTGATCTCTTTGGGTACTCTTCGAGCAACAACGGTCGCCTGCTTGGCTACATGGGATTGGTAGCTTCCCTAATTCAAGGTTGCATAACCAGACGAATCCCCTCTCTTCTCTCGGTACGAATAGGGATCTTTACGTGCCTCATGGCGCTTCTTATTCTCGCTCGTACGCACACTATTACTGGACTCTATATTGCTACAACACTTCTTGCGATGACAACAGCCACAGTAGTTACAGGTCTTAACGCTCTGAGTAGTTTTGAGGCTGGCGTAAATGAGCGCGGCGAAAAATTGGGTTTACTACGGAGCTGGGGCCAGGTGGGTAGAGGGATGGGACCTTTGCTTTTTACCAGTGTCTACTGGTGGGCTGGTCGTGAATTCGCTTACACATTGGCTGGCATGGGCATGCTTGGCGTTGGCATGATCGCTTTCTTCGGTTTACACGAGCCTCAGACAAACGCCAGAATGTAGGTCTCGACGTCCTGGTAGGTGGCTCGATTTGTTTTTACAATTTTTCTACTTATATTTGAAGCACGTTTTTAGCGACGGAACTCTGGAGATTCACAGGCATGGTAGTGAATACCCTATGTAAACTTATGTCTTTTTACATGCAAATATACCATCCCATACTCCCAAGATGGGCATATCATCATATAATAGCAGCTAGGACTGGTTATTGAAACTTCTCCGAATACCATAAAAGGCTTCACCACGGAGGAATAGATTATAGGTACAAATGTGGCCTAGAAAGGCGCCCGTGGGGTTTTCCGGAATGCCGGATAGCGCTAAATCAATGGCAAAGAACAACTAAGCAATCAGTGCCAAATGAATTGACACTGTTAGGAGAGAAGGAGTGGTTAGAATCTATTGATTTCTCACCGTAGCGGGATGTTATGGGGAGCAAAGTTAGAATGGAAAAACCGAGGTCATCTGGGATACAAATAATACCGGCAAACTGCAATAAGAAAGCTGTATACGCGCAGGGCACCAAGTCAGGGCATCGAAAATTTCCCTCGATATTTTTGTTTTTTCTCATTCATGCAAATTCTTAACTATATATAGCTAGCTTCAGTGGTAGCTGTAGGTTCTCCGGAAACACGCTCCCGTATCAAGCCTCTTGGGTGTGAGGCTTCAGCCTGATACGTAAAATTAGTCAATTCAATTCACTACCATCTCATGCGTGGATCGGGAAGTCTTCTATGAGGTCGGCTCGTTGCTAGACTTGCGGCTTGCAAGCATAGACGTATATCCATACTTAAAATACACTACATTCGTTCGCGTGCCTGCCTGAGTCCAAAAACCACCATGAGCTGACGCTAAATCTGGGGCGATAATATTCTTAGTGAGCCATAGAGTAGCAGAGACCAGAAATATGTCATTAATCTTACGTAGCTGGAGTTTTGGCGAGTCCTTTGTTCTACTCCATACGGAGCGGATGTGTTAGAAAGGTAAACGAAACAGAAGTCATCTAACTTCACCCGCATTAATTAAAAGAAGTTGGGACGCAATTATGATGAGGTTAGGGTTGAAAAGATGGAGCGACGATATTGTTTGTCATTAAATCCGCGATCAATTGAACTTTTATCCCCCATCCCATATATCCCTTGAGTTAGCCATGTCGTTTTGCAGCATCTTGAAAAGCGGCAACTTGCATAGCTAGGAGCTCCTCAGCAGAATAGCCGCTCTGCTCCATCTTGTTGGCCTTTTTTTCTCGTCCCTGCGATTAGACCAAACTCAAGTCAGTTTCCAGACTTCTTCCTAATGGAGATAATCTCAACGCATATGAGAGGCGCATATTATACCTTCAAGTTTTCCTTATGTTCACTTGCAACGCTTAAAATATCCTGTACGTAGTCTCCAAAACCTAGCTGTTCTAATGCCTTAGTGATGTGTTCGCATGCTATAGTCTTCTTGCTCTCCTTTTCACTAATTTCATTGGCTTCTGATGAAATTAGTGTGATAAATTCGACGCAGCATTCTATCAGAAGGTCGCGCGCATTCTTGGTAAATCCTATGCCGGTAGAGGCTGGTAAGATTTCGGAAACAATTTTCTGGACCGTAGCTTCAGCATTACTTAAGTTAGTAAAATATTTAGAAACCACTGGATTCAACTCCGAAAAGCAAAAGTAGTTCATAGATTCCTGATCTATTTCTAAAGGTAAATTATTATTCCATTATTTCCAACCGATTTCGATAGTAAATTCAATATTTATGAAGACCACTGGAATATATGTACTCCAAATCTAACTCCTAAAGTACTGTAGGTTTTATAAACTTCTATAGTTCGTTTTTCATTTGATGTCATTAATTATCGGATCTTTTACACTTCAACTATTGTGCCAGGTGGGTGGGTGCTGGAAATTGGAATCGTTTGAACAAAATCTGAAGACTTCTAGACCAGTCTTCTATGCGCAATTCCTCTCTGCAGATTACCTTATAAGTTGTGAAATGAAATTTAGTATTTACCTTTTGGTAGAGACAAATCATCATTCCCTATCATATCGAAATTAATAACATAATCCACAAAATAATTGAAACCTTGAATATTTTGAGTAAAGAAGTGCAGGGTGAGTCCAAAATCCTAGTTCAAACTATCGTGTTTAAAATCAAGCGCAACATTGAGATGTTATCCTGACGGCAAAAAATGAAAAAATTATCCGAAATTCTGGTCAACTTAGTATTTTGTAGTATTGTTCGGTATTAAAACTATCAAGGCTCATAACCAACCCCTAGGATAAGAAAAAAATTGGCTACAAATATTCGATATTCGCTGCTAGTTTACGCTTTCAATAACATTAATATCGATGATAGATTTCATGAAAGATAACTGAGCTTTAATAATTTCAGAATACTTTTCAAGCTGACTTTTGTTTTAAATGTGATAGAATCTGGGTTTGCCGATTCAAAATTTCTAAAGTTTTTGCGATAAGGATTCTTCCTTGTAGTTGCAACTATAAGGACTTGTTTGCGAGCCAAGGATTATCCAAAAGAAAAATCTGTTGAGCCTGAAGGTGGGGCTTTCCAGTTGCGCCTTACAAAAAGGGGTTTTTTTGTCCTGTACTCGATACTTGAAGTATTAAAACTTTTGAAGAAGATGTGTGATATATGGGCCCAAAATACCCACGAGTAAAACCTCACTTGAAGCTATGTGATTTATTTTAGGTGTAGAGGCCAAGATGCGCACAAGATCATCTGATCATTTAATTTTTGATGGCCCCTAAAAGTAACTTCATGAATCTCCAGCGGAATGATTTGACTTAGAAATTTTTTCAAGGTCAATGTGAGGGCTAGGCGCGAGAAAATGCAATTTTAACCCGAGCAGTCCCGTTTTGATGTCACAAATCATGTCTATTTTGACGCTCTCAAAAGTTTCTTTCCCCTGGAATCTGAGAATAAAATATACAATGCAAGTTCCAAATTAGAGAAGAATAACTCACCACCGTATTCCCGATCCGACATACTGTTTGATGAATCGTACAGATTGAGTTTATTCTAAGTTTTTGAACGAGTTATTAGACCGCAATACAGATGTGCGTTCGACCAATTTTCATAAAATAGAAATTATATGTTCTGGCTAGTTTGACCAATTTATTAGAATGGATGAAAGCTAAAGCGCTAGCCTTATGGGATCAATTTCACGTGGAATCATCGCTTATTAGATATTGTCCTTTCTCACGTGAATTTATGGAGTACAAGGGCTGGGCAGTTGTGCCTGAGTACCTATCGAAAGGAAGTATCGTTGGCAACGCCGGATACCTCACCTTCTAGCGGTGCCAGTGTAAATATCTGGTATATTCGAACTGTCGAAGCCCAAGAATAACTTCCGAAGAAGTTGGACAGGGAAATGTCTCGGGTCAAAAATAGGGACCTTCCATACGTACGTGGGTTGTTTGATTCGGTCAGTGCTTGCATTCTGTATTGAGAACCGCAGGTTGTTCTCTTCCTAGCGCATGTCTATATTTAGAGATCAAGTCAATCATGATCAGTGTATATAGTCCTAGAATTATGGGAGAAATAGGAATTAAGTTGTTTTTACTGAGTTATCTTTTACTTTAATTACACACACTTCGTCTGTTACAGGTCAGGCTCTCAGTTACCTGACATGAACGTCTAGGATTTTCAAAAAGAATTTCAGTACCTCCTTTCGGGATTCCAATTTATCCACGGGAGTAACAGTTGGCTTGGGAGGGCAAGACTGAGCACCTGTACGCGTTGTCCTCTCCGAACCTGGGAGTGAGATATTCTCCCAGAGCCAAGTTCAGTCAAATTTCGCAATATCAAAGAAGTTGGCCCACGAGGCAAAAATCCAAATTACTCCTCCACGTCGTTATTTCGCTCCTATCTTCGTCTCATAGAGTCTACAAGTACGACCAAGTACATCCTCATTCCAATGACCACACCACTCTTCGACCTTCTCTGGCCTGAGCTGGTCACCAAATACACGCCCACGCCGATATTTATACCCGACGGAGGAAGCAAAGCGTGGCGCACAAATCTGGGAGACTGTTCCTGGCGATGAACGTGAGAGGGAGCAGGACAAGCTCATAAGATGATGCATAGGAAGGATATAAACTCGAAGGGCGTAAATTTTGGCAAGTAGTTTTACGAATTGGGCTTTGTGCGCGCCAAGACTTCGCTTGCGAGAGTGTAGCTGACACTATGCTCCACCGCCATCTCTGGTGTCGAAGCAACCCTTCTCCTTTTGGAAAATGGGGCAAAATGACAATTTGTAGACTTCATGAGAGTCTACCTACACGTCGTTATTGCGCAATACATGGCCTCGGGCCAGGCCTCCACGCCACTCGTCCTCCCTCCTCGCCCAGCGAACCCAATCCCAAGAGCTCCCGACGCCAGGAGCCTATTCTCGAAAGCAGGGTTTTCAAAGTGACAATATGACTATTGTAAACCCTCCGAGAATGAAGTGCAAGGATGGAATACGGATATGAAACTGTGACAATTGCAGGGCTAACAACGATGTATAAAGTAGCTGTTATTATATTCTTCAATCTGTATGAATGAATGAATAAATGTTTATTCGCGACAGGCATAAGCACTGCAGTTAGAGAGCATGATACGGAGAATTCTAGCTTCCCCGACGACTATATACAACGATAACTCAGTTTGATATTTGTATTACTCATGTAGTGATTGCATTCGCTGATACCACTCGAGACCTTGGTGCTAGGGACTTTCACCCTTCCCTCAATTGTTAATATCCACCAAAGGGAAAACAGTAAAACCCTCTGGCTACCCTAACATGCCTTTGTAATCTTGTATATAGCCACCGCGCGACATATCGCATCAAGGTCCTCCCTTTCTCGAGTGAGGTAGGTGTCCAGGCTACCCAGACTTTAATTTGGGGAGATGATGACCAGGAGGCGGACCAAAACACCTTCCATCGTTGCCTGTTTCTAAAGTATTGGCAGTACTATCTGAATCGTAGCCTCGGCGCCCGCAAGTATCCCGAAGTCGTAAACATTCGGAAAATGTGAGTCCTAGTATGCCCATTTGTAACCTTTTCACTTGTTCACCTAACGTCCCAGCTGACTATCCTCTTTCAAGATGTGAAGCCCCATTAGAGCAATCGCCACCATAGACCAAGACCTGAGATCTGTAGATCATGACTTAATTTCATTCTCGTGGCTATACGCAGCATCGTAACCTTGTAGTCAGAGATGGCCTATTTTTTATGATTCAAATGCCCGATTTCTATTGGAGGAATTGTTATAATTATGAGGTTAGATGGGTAAGTATTGTGGTAGGATAATATATGTAAAGAATAAGGTAGAATTATTAAAATATACGTACTCTGATCACTTCTATAACTTGATAAGAGACACTGCACAGCAAATTTAAGGCGTAGATGAATCAGTATTGAATTGATATCCCACAGTAGTGATATAAGTTAGGTCTTATAGAAGTCCTCATCCACCAAACTGTGTTCCAATTATCTACTCTACTCTAAACGTGTCTCATTCCCTCGTATAACTGAGAAGCACTCTGTCAATGACTTGTGTCATTAAAGAATGACTACTCTTTCACTTGACAGATCGTCTCTACGACTCGTCGCTTACATTACTCGGCGAGTACTAACTGACGCGTCTATTTTCCAGACAGTGCACGGCTCGTAACTAAGCGAGTCGTGTAATCCGATACTGGAAGTTCCACGTTCTATCTACTAGGACATGATCTGTTTCTCTAACAAGAATGTATATTTTGGTGGTGAGCAAATGTGTTTAGACTATCTGAGAATAAACGTATGTTCTACATAAGAAGTAAATGCACCTGGTTATATATGTCTAATTTGCTCTATAGCCATACCCATTGGGTGTCTGAACGCACATTGCGCCCATGGGAATTCCCAGGGGCATGTCTGTTCTAGCATCCGTAAATAAAAAATAATATATTTATATACAAGAATATCATTTTTGCCAGAAAGCTGCGCAGCGTTCCACGCTACCCGTATCACCGATTTGACGCCGTGATAATTATCATTATATCTTCATTACCCTCCTTACATCTTATCGCTTTCCGTGCTCTAACATGGCGAGTGTGGGTACTGGTGTGGGTAAATCCAGCGGTTTCGACGCGTCGCAAAATGCGACAATGGCCCTAACAAACAACGGCAGCGGAGCGCAGATAGCTCCAAAGGATAGAAACCTTGAAATCCTGGGGAAACTATTGAAACAGGTTAGACTCATCGTGATGGGAGAGATGGATGAGGAGGACTTACCCTCAATGGAGGACGTGAACGAGGCCGTCAAGGCCTTCAACGCGCACAAAAGGGCCTGGACGGAAATTTCCCAGAAGAAGTCTCCTATCGAGGAGAGGATGATGGCGCTCGAGGAGGTTGTCAAAAAGAGCCTCGCGGATCCCGCTCGAAAAGCTGCACCAGCAGTGGTTTCGGGCGCGCTGACACCAAGGAGCTACGCGTCGGTCGTGGCTCCGCAAATGACGAAGACAGCGGTTAGAAAAAGAATCGATGGCGCACAAAACTTGCAGCCACAAGAGCTGCTCTCAAAGGCACAGCAACATATTCAAGGCGCATTTGCAATTCGACAGATGCGAAGCATCGACACCGAGGTGTTTGTCCAGTCGGCGTCCCAGAGAGACGCGGCGCTTAACATGCGACAACCAACGGATTTTTAAAATTTTGCGGCAAGACTTTCCTGTTGAGGTTTCCGGAGTCCCACTGCGGACAAGAATTGAGGGTGGTAGAGATGCCAAAAACTACGTCATCATCAGGGAAATTGAGACGGCGACGAAGGCACGTATTCCAGGCCTGGTAATTAGCAGAATACGATGGCTACATGATGGAAAGGAGCATCAGCGATCGAAGAAAAACGGTCGCAATCGAGGTTCAATTGTGGTCAGCTTCCCATCGGAGGCAATGCAAACGGAGGTAGTTCGACAGGGCCTTGTTATTAACGCCATGCTCTTCACCGCGCAGGTATGGTCGCCACGGGCTCAGCCAAAGCAGTGTTACAACTGCAGCCAATGGGGACACACTCAGGCGTCGTGTGGAAAGGCAGCCAGGTGCGGTGAGTGCGCTGGCGCTCACCAAACTCGGGACTGTCCGAGGAAAAGGGTTTCTTGTACCAACTGCGGCAAGGAACATCGTTCATGGCAGAAAGCAGCGCGTCGGACCTACCAGGTTTACAAGGGTAGTGTGGAGAAGGCTCGGATGGAGCTGTTATCGAGGACGGCAGAAATATGGAATGAAAAACCTACCATGGCGCCAATACGAACAGTCGGAACGACCGACGACCAAAGATTCACTTTGGTTACCAGTAAAAAGACTGAAGGACTCAAAAGAGGGCCAGGACGACTGCGTAAGGTAGTCGAAGCCCCAGCGGCACCAACCATCGCCTCGATAGCAGCACCACCATCGGGGCCAACTCTTCGAACACTTCGAAGACCAACGTCGAGTGAGGAGGTGCCTTCTCTTTTTAATTTTTCATAACGATGGTCTGATTGAAGGGGGAGTTAATGAATTTCGAGGAAAGTTTACATAATTGCGGTTGAAAGGAACGTCCTCAGCATAAAGCCGGGTCGGTTCAAAGTGGCAGGACAACGGGTTTTGTTTGTTGAAAGCTTTTTCCCTTACCAAAGCGGCTTACCGTCTTCATGGTTCTGTATATAGATACCGCATAGGACGTTAAACGAGACTAATTCAATTCAATTCAAATATATACAAATTTACTATTAACTTTAGAGCTATTTAGATAGTTTTAGCTGTCCTTCATAGTCATAGACTCAGTAGGGACATAAATAAAATTCTATTCTATTCTATTCTATTCTATTGGGTGTCTGATGTACTCATGTAATGCGTATCGATATGATTCGATCCTTAAGCTCCTAGTAATCAGCACGACTTACACTTGAGTCATACATTATTATAACCTAGCATCAATATAGTCATTCATTATAATCACTGAGTCTTGTCTGAGACCCTTGCTTCCTTGCGCAGACTAGCATCACAACAGTAACGCCATTATTGGTAGTAGAGGACTCGCGTGAGAATGATGGATCAAACCTTCACGAAGAGTCGTTGAGTTTGGATACAATTAAGCTTACTTTCCATTACACCGGCACCACTGGAAGGTGAAGAATTCGTCTTTGCCCGCGATGTTATTGATTTTTCCGCTGTCGACACTAAAAGTCCTTACCTGCCTTCTGAACGCTGGTCTTACATGCTGCCCTTTTTGCCACGGCACATGAGCCATGCTGAAGTTAAAATAAAGGACCAATGAAGGGCATGACGTAAAAAATTACAATTAAATAAATGAACAGTTCTGCACTTAGCCAGAATTCACTTTCCATAAATGCGTGATCTTATCGTTGTAATATTGTGTGGATATTTCCATAGCTAGCTTTTGTAGACACTATCGTGTCAATATTTTCTTTTGTACGAATTATAAAATGTGTTAGTGCGAAATCTCAAAAAATGTTTTTATTACGCGAAATATTTCATGCAGTGACCTGATTTGTCTTTCTGTAAGTTGGGTATACCGAGCCCTGTTTCGTCTCAGGTTCCCGACAAGATCGACTCTCTCTACACATGTCCCGAGTACGCTAATCGCGCCTACTGTCGCCTATACGTTAGGATATTTACGTACTACAGTGTACGTTGGATCATTATGGTAGATGAGAGGTAGCTAGTCATCACTAGGTTTGACAGGCACACGAGACTAGCGGGAATTTTTCCCTTAGATGTATATATAAGTCCAATGTTCCCATAGTTGTAAAATATCTATTCTTCTTTACTTCATCATATTTATCCATATAATATCGTACAGCGTATATTTTCCAACAAGCCCTAATACTTAATTCAGCTAGATATATTTCCAAAAGCCTGTAAGCTTCAAAGAAAATACTTAAAGCTTGTTGCGGTGCCTACAATTCTACTAGCAGCAGAGTGCTAGAGCACGAATCGTCCGTCCTCCCTATAGAGATATACCTGAAACAAAGTAGGCTCCAGCACGCCGGACTATCAGCTAAACTCCTAGTTCAACTGACAATCCGATCGGTAGGCAAGAGGATAAAGCTACCCGAAAACGGGAAAGCAAAATCCCACGCCTTGAACAGGAGTAGAGATATCGCCGAATGGACAAGAACTTGCGGAAGGGAAATGGACAAGGGGAGGCAGAAAGAATCTGGAAAGATAGCGGCCATTAGGTGGAAAGATTCATGGACAAGCCAGAACAGGAAACAGCGTACCGGCCGACCAGCATCAGCCGATCCAGAACATTGGAAAGCGGCAAATATATTTACTGATGAACAAACAGGCAGCACCAAAATAAATTTCAAAGATACACCCTTTAAAATCCACCGTAGCCTAACCAGGGTCCAAAGCAGTGTCGCCATTCAGCCAAGGAGCGAGCATTTTGGTCTCAATTATTACCTGTGCAGAAGTAAAATACTCGGAGTGAAAAGCCAAGCTGTCAATTTGGATATCCTTCACAAAACATCAAGCACGTGGTGTTGACGTGTCTGCAGTGGGCAAATGGAAGAGGCGACTTTCTCCGACGAGCTAAAGACAGGTCATTTGAAGCCATGATGAACGGCCCAGAAGATGTGGCTAGAATAACACAGTGTATACTAATCAATTGGTGGATAAAACATTTTCGACTTGGGAGGGAAGTCGGGCTATCAATTTTGGATATAATAAAACGATCTGGAAGGGGAGAGGAGGGAATACACACTGGCTGAACAGTGTACATTGCACTTCCCGAAGATATTTAAATTAATTGATAGGTGTACAAGTGCAAGGGAAATAATAATTGTGTAAACCTTAATGCTTGTATGTCCTATGTTAGCCCTAATAAGCGAGCGACGCTAAATGGGTTGAATTATAGGGGGAACACTCTATAATTGGTATGGGTGTGCAATTTTTGTATTAGATTTCTATATACCGAGTTAGGGTAATGTAACTTCACCTTTTGAGGAAGGATTTTTGTAATAGGAATATAAACAGACAGGATCAGGGGGTTTCACCAATTTGGTTTCCACCTTTGTAAATAATGAAGATAGTCGCCTGCATGGACCCACAGGGTGCCTGATTGGGTTACATGAAATCAAAATTAAAAAAATATTTTATAATTAATAAACCACGCGTGATCTATCTTATTCGTATTATTTAAACACAATTCTTTATCGTATTAATAGATTATTGATAGCCTGTCGCAACGGCCGTGCGTCCTGATATTTATCCGGCTGAACGAAAGGGATGACGTTAAATCTAATTTCGTAACTAATCCTTTTATCTACCAAATTCGAGAATCTTCGAAAGATTAAGAGAAAAGTCAAGGTAAAAAGTCCTGAGGGTATTTTTATTATATCCCAGAAATTCCCACTATTTTCTTTACTTGTTTCCAGATGAATATCTTTCATACATCTCAATAAACCTCAAGTTTAAGTATAGGGAGAAATTATTTGGGCTTAGTTGTGATGGGCGATCAACAAGACAATATAGCAAAGGAATGGTGGCCAATTACTGTCTATTTTCTACATACATCTCGGAACTGTCCATCGAGGGGAGGCTACTTAAGGTGTCCCAACTCCCAATGCGCTAATCTCACTATCTGTTCTACAACACCATATCCTTGATATTCCGAGTGGGCTCGTCATAGCGAATCTGGGTCGTGTCGGCCCATGATTCCATATGAGACTTGCTGTAACAATATCCTGATTCCATATTTGTTGCAACCCTGTATTTGTATGGCCAAGTTGGACATCTTTTTAGATAGCAAGGCTAATGATGTAATAATGATAAGTGTCTGTGGGACAGTCACTAGGAGATAGGCGCAGCCTGTAGCATTAACCTGGATCAGTTGATTGCGATCGCACCCATGCTACTAAAGTATTTCCGTGACCAAATGTCCGATTTAGAGGTCGTCAATAAGATTTGATGATACAGCTCAAGGTCTCGAGTGAAGGTTGCTTGTTGCAACAAAATTTTAGCCTACAAAGATTTAACCAAGTATCATTATCTTCCTATAACAACATTGGTTGAAATTAAATTAGTTTTATCTAAATGACACGATAAGTTTTTGGCCTGTGTAGATTCAATCGATAAATCCAGCTATCTTCATTAGCCAAGCTATCGATGAGCTAGTCGCTGACACCATGATAGTTGTTGATTGTAACTTACAATGTCTTAATTATACCAAGAATTTCTCAGTATCAGTGAGCAAAAGATTTAGTGGATTGTACAAGGCCACCTAAGGCTTAGAATTAATTTTAAAGTGTCATAGTCTTGCTGTACTTTATTTATCATGATTCTAATTGTGATAAACCTTAGGGACCTCTGGTGTTGCTGAATCTGGGCGAAGGCATATGGCGTGGGGCAAATAAGGCATGCTGCGGTATTTTGACTTGGCCTTTTGATCTGTCCATATTTGGGACGCCATACCGGCATCCGACGCCCTTGACTCCTCTTCCATTTTTCCCAATTTCATCAACTTTTGTCTCCTGAAATCTAAAGACAACTCCTCTTTGATTCTTAATTTTTTTGATTGATTCCTGTTGCAGGGTTCTTCTCAAAGCTTTTTGCTCACTTTTTTGTTGTTCGTCTTTTAATCTTCGGATCTGTAGAAGGGTGCGCTCTTCAATAGATTTACCATTTAACCATTCTCGGTGCATAACTGTAAGTTCTGGGTGAGGTACTCGCTTATCCGCTGGTTGTAGTTTATCATCGAAAACTTTGGCTGCGTCTGCCCGGGTGAAGTGTCTTGATTCTGAAACAGGATGCCATAGCTGGGGGCCTGTGACTTTCAGAACAGCAAGGTCATTAATAGACTCGTGTGGATTTCTTCTTCGGTCCTCGACAACTTGATTCTTCAGATCCATCTCATCAGGAATAGAAGGACTAGCTAGAGGAAGTAATGGCAAGCTTTCTTCTCGTCGCCGATTATTTTCTGCTTTCCTTTCTTTAATTTCTCGTTCTGCAGCTAGTTTTGCTTCTAGCCTAGCCTCTATCAATGCCTTTTCATCTTGATCTGTCCAATTTAACAGAGCAAGTTTTCCAGTACATGGGAGCATTTCTAGTACAGCTGTAGAGTACTGATCAGCAGTGGATTTTCCCTTTTCTTTGAGTCAGTGAACGGAATTAATGATCGGAGCATCGTATTTTCTAATTTTATGGGGATTTCAGGAGAATAAATGTTTTTAACCAGATACTTTTTGTCTTAAAGACTAATCGATTTTAACTCATCATCAAAGAAGGAAAATTAATCAACTTTTTAGACTTACTTGCTGTTTCCATAACTTTTCGACCTGTACGAGCCGGACAGAAGCAGCCACTCTGCTCATCTCAATACCTCTTTGCGCACTGACTTCCCGCACCGTCATACCTCTAACCATCACGTCTTCCCATACTTTGTGCTGAAGCCAAGGTCCAAGAACAGTTTCACTCATAAAATCCTTATTCGCAGGGAATGGAGTTAAATCACGACGAGTGGCACTTGGCAAGACCTTACTCTGTTCAGCGTGACTTTTGGTAAGCTTTTCAAGCTCATCCTGGAGCTCTTCGACTCTCTCGGGATTTTCCTTGATAGTTGTTTGGATCCGTTCCAGCTCCTGCGCCTGAATGGCAGATCTATCCACTACTCGCCTTAAAGTACCGTTAACATTGTAAGCGCCCAAATAATTAGTACTGTCCTTTAATGGATAGTAGAAGTTTTTCCCTACTCTATTTAACCACTGAAACATCATCCTACGCATTCTGACTTGGCGATCCATTTGGGGTGTCGTTGAGAAGGAGCATATATATTGTGTATTCCATTTTGCTTTCCGTACACATGATGAACAGTTAAGAATTCGTGTGGATGGAGTAAGAGACATGGTAGAAGATCTTCAACCCAGATTAATTAATGTAACAGTTGATGATGTGTTGAAGGAATGAAAGATAGTTTCAAAAGAGATGGCTTGCGAGTCGAAGGGAAGACTTTGTGCCCTTAATTGTGTGATATTTTTGCTATTCAAGGTTGTGTGTGAGGTTTGCAATTTTACTTTCAGGTAAGTTAAATTGGTGCGAAGCGATTTTTGAAAGTTGTATTGGTGCCATAATTATGCATGCATAATTATGGCGCTAGTCCAAAACTGAAAATGTACTCCGCCTTCACAGGTGATGTGCGAACTGGATGCACGCTTTCAGATGAACTTCATATACTTCTTTGTAACCTTGATAAAAAAGATCAACGCTGTGGATGTGTTGATTATTCTTATCAATTCATTTTATCGTTCTTTCTAATTATATGGCTATGTAGGACATGCACGTCCTCTCTGCCTAAAGTCCGAGGATACCTATACTAGAAGTATATCCCTTCCTATGCCTCCCATATAGATCCCCTAAAATAGTACCGCCCCTCACAAGTCCCCATTCGATCATACGCTCAGAGAAGCCCTTTGCCCTTCGTCATCTCCCCTCTCCAGCCAACAAAACGATGGCCATTTGCTGGTATATGGCAGCCGGGAAAAATCGCAAAAACCACTGGGTGCGGGACTCTTCTAGTACCGACATTGGAACTAAACTCGAAGACATAGTGATCCTTCTGAAGCGTTCGAAGAGGCCGGCCAGCTGGAAGCTGCAGACTTGGGGGTACCTCGGTAAATTCACCCTCTGCCTTTCTAGCCTCCTTCCGACTCTTTCCCCAAGGTCGTGCTGAAATGACAGAAAAGTCTTGACAGAGCGTGATTGCTGTATGGTAGCTTAGCCCAACTTCTTTTGTGCCGTCCAGGACGCTGGAAAGGGCCGTTGACTCATCGATAAAAGAAGCCCTCCAGGCTAATTAGCCGAAATCTCAGTCTTGGCGCCGACAAACGATCCAAAATTGAAAACTCCTCGAAATTATCAGTACCAGCATGGTATTCGAGATCTGTCCCCCCTCCTGCTCCACGTCTCGGCCGCCTGCCATCCCACAAGTCGGTTGTTCCATTAGAGCAACAATCCGTCATAATCCAGGACCCAGGCTTTGTATTATAACTTGATTTCCTACTTGCTGGTATATATAGCGTCGTGAATATGTAGTGTGAGATGGCTGGAAATTAATGGGGCAATCTCCAATATGCAATCGGAGCAACTTCTTTATTGGTCGTTGAAGGGAGATGATTTGTGGTTAGAAAAAGGTTGAGGACTCAGATAAGAATGGTAAGTACTGCAGTATTTTGCAGTATTTAGAAGTCTTCAAGTGGAGATATGCATGTGTTTGCTTTCGACTCCCATTCGGATAAGATTCTCCTTGGCAATCCCAGATATGCAGAGCATACTCAGCGATTACACCGGTACCACTCGAAGATGAACAATTCGTCTCTGCCGACATGCAATCTGCTAGAAATCAAGGTTCTTACCATCCGTATTATCCTACTCTCATGACTATACTTTCTCAATATTCCAACAGGTTATGAGACCGGTGTTTAACTACTCATCGGCTTCCGTTTTCGAACAATCCACAACAATGTCTTCATTTACTGCAGAAATAAAAGACACCCACAATCACGAAGGTCTTCCACAGTACAAATCTAATTGGGGAAACATTGTGATTCTGAGCCTGAGAACTTTCATAGAGTGGCGGATTACTTGCGAGATCGCTTTAATTAACGCAGGCGTTTTAAGTATCGCTGATGGCACTTGGAAGAAACCCATTGCTGATGACTACACATATATTTACCGTCCTAATACACGATCAGTCTTTTCAGATGCACCACACCATGAAATTGATACCGATGACAATCAATTTTGAGCAGAGGAAAAGAAATGGTTGTCCGAAGCCCGCGACACGCAGATAATCATATCCAACTCCATCGAAACCCAACTGATGGAGCAGTCGCTCGGATATCTGAGGAACATTGATTCTGCCGGGGTATGGAACTTCCTCCAAATGGACCCAAGCAAAGATCCAACAACCATTGTAGAATTGAGATCCAAGTTCGCCTCCATGAAGCTTGATCCGAGAACAGACACCATCCAATTCCTTGTTCTAGGCCTCAATAATCTCAGGGTGAAGCTATCAATGACATCTTAATCGATCACCGAGGAGGATGTCAAGGAGCAGCAAATTGTATCTCTTCCTAAAGATAACTCGATCTGGTATACAGCTCGATCACACACTCTAAATATGGGTAGAAGTCTCGCAGAAACAATTACATATCTTCAATCTTGCGAGTCTAACATACTTATACTCAGCCCCCTCAACCACAATCTGCAAATCTTGCACGCAGTAGCTATTGAAAAAGAGGACGTGGTACATATCAAAGGGGACGCAATACAACGCACTTTGATCGTCGTAATCAAGTTCGCGGAGAGCTTAACCGTAAAGGAAAGCAAAGAGGAATGGTAATAGACGAACAGGAGTGCTTCTTTCGCGGAAGAAAAGGTTATTAAGAACGAGATTATTGCCTTAAGCAATCCAAAAGTAGAGCGGCCAAGGAAATGAATAAACCTAAGGGAGATGCCGGCGCTCGTTATGTCCAAGTTCGAAATATTAATGAAAATCATTCACCCTACCTGTCTTATTATCTTAAGCACAGTCACACAGCTTACTAAGAGCAAAATCTGGATAAAAGTCTAGCACTTCTCAAAATAAAATCAAGTAAAAGTGTCTATGTGTGTGTTTTTATTGTACTACTTGAGTCTATGACTATCTAGCACATTGGACTCCTCTCTGACTCAGGCCACACCTTGTACAGTGCTCCTATCCTCTTTTGTTACTTGAAAGATCATTCATATATTCCCCTTGATGAATAGCCATTCAGCTCAGTGTTTACCCGTGGAATTCGGCCACCTTTTCCACGTAGCCTTCTGCCCAAAAAAATAAAAATGGTAGCAATGGAAACTGTGTGCACGGGAAAAAGTCTTAAAAAACCTGCAGCCCCAGCCAGGCGAGACCTAGACACCGGGACCACATGTGGTGCGCGTATTCATTTATATCTCCCTTCTTTGTAACAGTTGAGGTCGACTTGATCCAATCCGCCATCTCCGTATCGGGTGCTGGGTACGCTTCGGAAACTCATCGGATGGCTTCTCCTCTATGATCAATTATCGGTGATGAGAAGGGCTTCGACCCTACCATCTGATCTGATCGTGGTTAGCTTCATGATAATGGTGATAGGGGAATGTGTTGAGAGATGAAGACGATACAGACCACGCAAGCGATTGGGAATCCTCGTCGAAGTGAGGACTTTGTTGCTCAATCTCGACTCTGCAGACTCTACAGTGATAGCTGGAGGTTCGTAGGGGACACCACTGACAGGTGTTGAAAATGGTCACCCATCAAGTAAAAGTAAAAGCTGACAATATAAAACAAATTCCAAAAATATGCAGAACTTGATCACCAGTGGGATTTATCAACTCCTAAAACTTACACGATTTTTGGATTCTAATGCAACAGCTTTCCCAACTGTCACAAAACATGTATTACTTACCAAGCCCAGAGAAATTCTCACAATAATCAACTCCGGAGCATCAGAACATTTCAGTGGTATGAGAGATGATTTCTATACGCTCAAAAGATAGAGCAGTCCAAAGTCTGTCCAAATTGCAGATGGAAAAGTTATTCAATGTGATGGCTATGGCAAAATATCTTTTAGGACTAGTGACAAAATAATTGAACTAAGAGAAGTCTGGTTTGTTCCTGAGTTTGGTCAAATACGGCTTCTGTCCGTCTGAGCCTTCAATAAGAGGGGCATAGATGTAAAGTTAACTGATAGCCATCGTCAAATAACACGAAACGGCTCAATCTTATTTGAAGCAGAAGGAGAGGATGATGTCTTCAAAGTTAAAACAAAATCAATACTTCAAGCAATATCAGCCACAGAAGTTCAGCAATAAATGCCACACCAAATAGAGACTGAATCGGAAAATTTGCATAGAAAAATGGGCCATATTAACATCAAAGATATTGACAAGATTCTGAAAACAGGACACACCGGACTAAACCTTCTTAACAAGAAAAGATCAATTCCGATTGGATCAAAATCTTGCGAAGCATGTTTAGCAGGAAAGCTGAAGAAAAACTTCGATAAGAAATCTGATAATTGTTCAAGCATCATCCTTCGTCGAGTTCACTGCGATATCTCAGGAATCCAGTCCATCTTAGTTAGAGGATATCGGTTCTACTTCCTCATGGTAGATGATGCAACAAGGATGTGCTGGGTCAGGTTACTAAGAACGAAAGAAATGAATGAGGTTCTAGTCACATTCAAGCAAATATAGGTCGAAGCTAAATTACAATCTGGTAAAAAAATTTTCTACATAAGGGCTGACAACGTTAGGAGCGAATTTTGTACTGCCCTTCAACACTACTTGAAAGAAGTAGGCATAAAATTTGAACCGGGCCCACCATACAAACACTCAATGGACGGAGTTGTTGAAAGATGGATGGGTATTATAGTAGTCATAGCAAAGTCTATGTTATTCGGGGCACAGCTACCTCACCAGCTCTGGGATTACGCTGTCGAGCATGCGGCTTGGATCAAGAACATGGCTTCCACATCTGCGCTACCTTTTGCTGATAATGACGCCCCAGAAAAATTCACTCCCTACAGCGCTTATCATGGAAAGCCTGCAGATCTAACCAACATCAGAGTTTTCGGGTGCAAAGCAGATGTGCTTTACCCTTCCGAGCTAATTCTTCAGAAATGGCAACTTCACATTAGAGAGGGAAAATTCATCATGATAGGAATGACTTCGACGAAAATTTGGAAGCTACTTGATACGCTTACCCCAAGAGACACCATCTCTGCAGATGTTGAGTTCAATGAATATGAATTTCCTAAAATTGACATCTCACTCTTTACTCTACCTGATAGACCAGATGTGCTAACACCAAGATAAGTACCTTTAG